GTGAGCCAAGCGCTGGTGGCTCACTACTCAGAAGGCTGAGATCTGAAGATCTCAGTTCAAAGGCATCGAGGGCAGAAAAGTCGAAGAGACTCTTATTTCCAATTTTCTGGCAAAAGTCCAGAAGTAGAGGTGTAGCTCAAGTGCCAGCTTTGAGCAAAAAAGCCAAGCAAGAAAGGCTCAAGGTCTTGAGTTCAAACCTCAGTATTGACGAGGTAAAAAAAACCAGTAGTAAAGGCAGCTCAAGTGGTAGAGCCTGAGTTCAGGCACACATGCACACACACGTACAAATGAATAAAGTTTTTTTTTTTTTTTAAAGGTCTCATTGTGGTTTCTTTGGTGTCAGAGATTTTTATTTTTTTTGTCAGTCATAGGGCTTGAACTCTGGGCCTGGTCACTGTCCCTGTGCTCTTCAGCTCAAGGCTAGCACTCTACCACTTGAGCTACAGCGCCACTTCCAGTTTTCTAGTGGTTTATTGGATATAAGAGTCTCACAGAGGGCTGGGAAGGTGGCTCAGTGGTAGAGCGCTTGCCTTGCATGCCTGAGGCCCTGGGTTCAATTCCTCAGCACCACATAAGCAAAAAGAAAAAAGCCGGAAGTGGCGCTGTGGCTCAAGTGGTAGAGCACTAGCCTTGAGCTGAAGAGCTGAGGGACAGTGCCCAGGCCCAGAGTTCAGGCCCCATGACCGGACCAAAAAAAAAAAAAAAAGGCTCACAGACTTTCCTGCCCCGGCTGGCTTTGAACCGTGATCCTCATATCTCAGCCTCCTGAGTAGCTAGGATTACAGGCGTGAGCCACTGGCGCGGGCTCCGGCTACAGATTCTTTTAGGTACAAATTTAATTTTATCCTTGATCTCCTTTGGTCTTTAAAACAACCCTTTAGGAGCAGTTATTTACTTCCCCCATAGTTGTCTGACACTGAATAGCGTCTGGGTCCTGTTGGAGAGACAGAGGTGATAAGTAGTTGAATGTCAAGGCAGGTCTGGCACGTGTGTCTTCTCCCTCTACATTTCTGCTGTTTTCACAAGACGGGGAGGAATGGGGCATGTAAAACTGTGAGGGACGCATCTTAGTGGGGATCACCTGTGGCTGAGATGAACTTGTTGTAGTTTTCGTAGACCAGGGTCTGCATGTCGCTGTCTAGAGCCCGGATCTGCCGCACCATGTCCGTCTCACTGTCCATCAGCTGGGCCAGGGGGCATTCTCTCCTCAGCTACAGGACAGCGGTTAATGTTCAGTGTTAGTGCTCCCTAAAGTCCCCCCAGCCTTGTCCCCAACGGGAGAGGTCTTCAGTGTAATTAACGCTGATCAACTCCTTTCCTATCACCAATCCCAAATGTTGAAGGCTACCAGCGGTATCCTCAGGGGGTTATTAGGTTTGAACCTGTTTTCAAACATCAGCTTTTGAGGTTTAAGCTTCGGCCGGGCCCCGTTGGGGCCGGAGCCACGCCTCCCCACGCGGGCCTTCCAGAGATCCCGTTTATCCTCAGGCCAGTCCAAACCTGCCCCCGCCCCCTTACACTCCAGTTCTACCCCTACTTCCTGGCCAAGGGTGGTCTCCTTTTTTGGGGCTCTGCTTCTCTCACCCCAGGGAGAAAAGGAAGTTGAGATATATCGGGGGCCGGGAAACCCCCCACCCCATCGCTGAACACACCTTGTCCAAATACACTTCCGGGTCGAAGTGCGCCCCATTGAGATCAGTCGGGTCCAGGGGGTCCGACCCCGCGGGCCGTCCCGCCGCCTCCCCCTCGGAAAGGCCGTAGTAAAGCTTCAGCATCCCGTGCGCCTTCCTCCGACGCTCCGGAGCCTCCGCTTCGAGCCCTTCCGGGGGTTCTCCAGGCCCGGATCCCAGGCCAGGCCCAGTGGCCGGCGCCGCCGCCGCCATCGCCCCATCCGCAGCCCACGGGCGTGAGGCTGGGGAGGAGGAGGGAAGGACGCACTTCCGGGAGCCATAAAGTCGTGGGAACGAGACGGTCCTTCAGGTGAAACGTTCCCCCCTGCAACTCCGGGTCCGACGAGACCACAGTTCCGGACACCTATCCTCCGAGCAAAGCCGTTGTGGAGCTGCATTGGATTCCTGTCCTCCCAGGGCTAGGGGCTCTCCAACCCTGCAGACCCGCAGGGAAGAGGCCCTCGTACGTGTGCTCAAACCGACACTGAAATTAATTTTCCTAAAACGAAACAGCAAGCTTTCCCCGCAGGGTTGAATGCAGGTGTGCAGGCCGCCGCTGGCGCGGGTTTCTTCAAAGCCCAGCTCTCTCACTTGCACCAGGATTGCCTGCAGAACTATCTGTGACACATCGGTGTGGGGGAAAGGCTCTGGGCTCCTCATACCATTTTTTTTGTTTGGTTTTGGAGACAGGGTGCCGGCCTGGACGTGTGCTCGAACTCTGATCTGCCCATTTATTTTAGCGTTCCCGTCGTTGCCGGGATAACAGGTGTACATCATTGCATTTAGTTTCCCTCTGTTGAGATGTAGTCTCACTGACTTTTCTGCCTGGGTTTGTCACCCTATTCAAATGCAAATTTGTGAAGTTTCCCTCCAAAAGTAGGGTCTCTTCACTTAGAGTCCTTGACTTCCATTGCAGAACAAGAATTTCTGGGCAAGTCATAATGAGAAGAAAACTTGGCAGAGCTTCACCGAGTAAGTAAGCAAGTAGGCAAGCAGATAGGCAGGAAGGCAGAGGCACACTCTAACAGAGTGTGGGGTACTCTGAAAAGGGAGACAGATCTCCCTGGCATCCGGGGTATTTATATGATAGTGGCAGAGGGTCTGACTTAAAATTATGCAGAGATAGTTATCTTTGCTCTCAATCATTCTTGGTGGTGTTACACTAAGTTCCTGCTTGTCTACTACTACTCTGGTTCTTTTTTGGGCATTTCTCTCAGAAAGGTATGCATTCTGCCACCAAACAAATGCTAAGGAAAGGAATGCATCCTGTTGTCTCTCTTAGAAGCAAAGATAGTGCTTCTGTTTCTAAATTCCTTGAGTTGCCTTCACCAGGCCTAATTTTCTCTATGATTTATTCCTACCTCAGGTCTTGACCTTGCTCTACAGTCCTCTCAATTTCAGCCTCCCATGTAATTTAGGTTGATAGCAACTTATCACTGCCCCCAGCTTTCTGTTGAGAAGGGGGTCTTCAAACTTTTGCACAAGCTGGGCTCAAGCAATGGTCCTCCCACTCTCAGTCTTCCTAACTCTCCAAGTAGTTAGAATTACAGACATAAGCAACATTGCTATGCTCTTAACATGCTTCCTCAAATGTTCATTCATGTCTGGGCCCTCAAGATCTTGTATTGCAATCTTACTGAGAGGGAACTCTTCATTGGTAAATTAATTTTAGTTACACATTCATTGTGTTTATATATCAGGTTTTGAACTTGTCGAAAATTATTGGTAGTACAGATGATATGAGTTTTTTGTTGTTGGTCCTGGGTCTTGAACTCTGGGCCTGGGTGCTGTTCCTCAGCTCTTCAGCTAAAGCTAGTCCTCTGCCACTTTGTGGTGCTGAGGGATTGAACCCAGGGCCTCAGGCATGCAAGGCAAGCGCTCTACCACTGAGCCACCTGCCCAGCCCTTCCTCTGCCACTTTGAACCACAGTACCACTTCCAGTTTTCTGGTGGTTTATTGAAGATAAGAGTCTCGTAGACTTTCCTGCCTGGGCTGGCTTTGAACCATGATCTTCAGATCTCAGCCTCCTGAGTAGCTAGTATTACAAGCATGAGCTATTGACACCTGGCTAGTTTTTAATGTTTTAACATTTAGACATAAAAAATTAGGCATGGATATGTACATCTGGGCTTATGACTTTCTACATTGGTGAAAGGGTCACCTCTGTAGAGGAAAAGTTACAGGAAGATTTAGGTCGCCCCCAGTCTGCTGGTGGCCTTTTTCCTTACAATTCATATGTTACTTGAATCATATGTGAAATAACACTTGAGTTGAGAAAATTCATCTGTATTTAGAGTTCAGAGGCAAACACTTGCTGGGACCATGGCTAGACACTGGGGCATCATCCCTTTAGAGTGAACTAATGTTTCATTACTTTAACAAAATACCTAAAGTGGGCTACTTTATAGTTTATTGTGGATGCTGGAAATCCAAATAGCACAGGCTTTGTCAAGGACCCCCTCCATGACATCATACTACCTGTGCACCTCTGAATCTATGTGGTCTCCTAAAGCCACCAAGATTCAACCATAGGGCTGTTACCCAAATGTTCTAATCCAGTCACTTCCTTAAGACTTCTCTTCTAAACACCATAGCCCAATTAATGTGAGACTTTGGGGATTATACTGCTGTACAGGTCAGGAGACAAACCAGATATTCAACCGTAGCTTAGCTTTGTAGTATGGTGTTTGCATGCTCAAGGCCCTGAGTTCCATTCCTAGTCCCCAAATGAGTGAATTGGACCCTAATGATAAGGTTAGTATGAGGGGGCTGAGGAAGTGTTCTGACTGATGGCAGAGTGGGGCAGTGATTGCAGAATCTAATTCTGCTGTTCAGGAGGAGACTTCTGGGATGCAGAAGTCTCCTCCTACTTCATTCCCAGGAACTTATGTGTCCCTATACATCATGCCATTTTCTGCCTTCTGTTGACTGCCTTGGAGTTCACAGGTCTATAAAGGAAATTTCCTTCTTCCTGGTTTGTATCTGTCCCTGCTGTCCAGCTTTGGGTAGGATGAATCTTCAGAGTGGACTCACTGTGGCTCACTGGCTCTGAAAGCCCAAGTAAAACAATCTACCTGCATCAAGAATAAAACAGGCAGCTGGGTGCTGGTGGCTCATTCCTGTAACCCTAGCTATTCAGGAGGCTGAGATCTGAGGATCATGGTTCAAAGCCAGTCTGGGCAGGAAAGTCTGTGAGACTCATGTCCAATTAACTACCAGAAAACTGGAAGTAGCCCTGTGGTTCAAGTGGTACAGAGTTTGGCTTGAGCTGAAGAGCTCAGGGACAGCGCCCAGGCCCAGAGTTCAAGCCCCATGACTGACAAAAAGCAAAAGCAAAAACAAACAAAAAATAGGCTTAAAGCCAGCATCCCTCACGTTCTCATGGGACCCCTGGTGTGATGGAAGTATGCACACAGAAAAGGCTGAGAATCTGGAGATAAAGGGAGGGAAAAGCTGGCCAGCACTGGTCCTAAGGAACACTTGGGGAGAGGATGGAAAAGCCATACCTAGGGAGTGAACTGCGGAGGGAGAGGCATAGCGGTATGAGGACTGTGGATAATATATTGTTTCTTCTTTCCCCTTAGTTCTACCCCAATAGGGATAATCTGGGATTTGGTACAAATCTCTCACCCGAGCATGCCTTGTGTTCTCCACCTGGGTCCTCATCTCTCACCTGCCCACCACTTGCTGCAGCCCTGGATCTCGTCACCCTCAATGTTTCTAAGCTCATCCTGCATCCGTACAAGGAGCCCATGCTTCCTTTGCAGGGTTGCTGAGACTCCACAACATGCAGAGGGTAGGATGACCCGGCTGCCACCTCCTCGCCAACACGAGTCCCCACGGGTCTGCTCTACCGGAGTACTCCCAGCCACGCACGAGGCACTCCACAACCCAGAGCACTCCCAGCCACCCGTGATGCACTCTGGTTGTTTGCTAGAATCAGATTGTGTTCTAGAATCTTGGCTCCTCCATCCAATGTTCTCCTGGCTCTGGAATCCCATTGCTACTCCAGTACAGAAGGGCAGGGTTTTGCTGCATTTTTCCTGGAAAGTGCCTGCTTCCTTCAGTTTTCCGCCAGACTTGTGTCCCCACTGAGGGTGGTGCACTGAGGACGCCATGCGGTGGCGGGACCGCTTCGCTGTGCTCTACTTTCCCCAAGGAATGTCACTCAGTGCGGTTTCCCTGGGGCTCTTCTTCATCCACCTGAGTGTCTTTGCCAGTGACTTGAACAACTTTTACTTCACCCACCACTACGATCGCATGAGCTTCCAGTACACAATCGTCCTGATCGTAGGCCGGGCAGCAGCAGAGGGGCTGGCAGGGGTGGGGGTGGGGGTGGATGGAAACTTGCCCGTTGTGTCAGGGGCCTGCTCTCCTATTGGGTTGGCCTACAGTTCTCCCATGTGATCAGCATCTGCTGGGCTGCTATGGGGTCACTCTTTGCAGAGATGACAGACAACAAGAATTTCCAGTGGTTTGCCATGATCAGCCTGAGTGAGTTGGCGGGGGGGGGGGGGGGGTAGGCACTAGTATCACTAGTATGAGGGCCAGTCTTGAAGTGTTGGGATTTTATGGGTTCTCTCCTCTACTTAGTACTCAATGGAATCATGTTCTTCAACCGTCTGTCTCTGGAGTTTCTGTCCATCCAATACCGGGAGGAGAACCACTGAGGCCTGGGGACAGGGCTGAGAGAAGGGAGAAGAAAAGGCTGCTTGGGTGGCTTTTTTTTTTTTTTTTAAATAAAGTCTGTTTTTATTTGCACCTGTTGGTCCTTCAAGGGGTGGGTGGGAGACTGGAGACTCAGGGGGAGGCAGGTTAAGACAAAAGCTTGACCTATGGGACTCCAGGCCCAGCCTGAACACACTCCGGTAGGCTTGGTCTGGGCCTGGGATCTTAGTGTCTCAGGCTTGAGGGAGTCGAGCAAAGAAGAGCCCCAGGCCTTCCGGCCTTCCCTCCTCAGGACCCCAGGTCCTAGGTTGGCCCAGCCACAGCAAGAGCTCAGGAGGGCCCCACACGGATGTGAGGGTTCATGAGTGGGTCCAGATTGGGATCGCTGTCAGCTGCAGCCCGACCCAGGCGGGACATGAGGGCCAGGAGGGCCAGGAAGCCCAGAAGTCCCAACAGTAGAAGCAGCCCGGCCCGCTGAAGAAGGGTCAGTGGTCGCTTCCGGGATCCAGCCCGGCTCCTAGGAGGGAATGAGGAGAAAGTGAGGTCAGGCCCACGCCCCCAACAGCCCTATGGTACTCAGAGAAGCCCTGGTGACCATCCTTGGGCTTGGTGTCATAGGCATGACCCACCATTCAGGGGACTGTGCAGCTCAAACCAGGCACACAACTGTTCTGAAAACTGCAATGCATCAGGCACCGGGGATAGTTATAAAGATCAGAAGGTGATCAGAAGGCAAGGAGGAGCCTTGAGACCAAATCTCCCATAGGAGGCAAAGATACAGCTCAGCTGAGGCCTAGGATACCATGAGTGCTCAGAACAAGTGCCACTGGCATCCACTAGCCTCAGGCCTCTCCTCCACTTCCTGGCATCCCACCTCGCCTGACGCCTCTGTACCTGAGCAGCTGTGCCAGCCAGCCCAGGGCAGGCCGGCGGCGGTATTTGTCATCATCACAATCCCCATGGAGGCCTGATGCTCGGTTGTCATCCCGTGTGTCATACACCTTCCGAGGGGCTGCAGGGGTAGAGACACCAGCGTTAGCAGGCTCAGGGCCCTGGATAGGGGGGGATCTCCCAGCCTCCCCAGCTTGAGCGAACCTCTTGGAATTGTGGGGAGGAAATGGCTGTGCTTGGAGTGAGGAAGAGTCACTCTAAGTGGGGGCGGCTCACCATGAGACAAGGGCTCTGGACTGTCCATGTGTATGACTGTGTGCTGCTCCAGTCGGCTGGGAGAAGGAGGGGGCCGAGGAGCCTGGTTGTAGAAGGCTGGGGCGGCAGGAGTACTGTCTCGCTCCTCTTGTCTGGGGGGACTGGAGGCTGGGGGCAGGGAGAGAGCTGTCAGAGGAACAGGGAGGCAAGAGCCTAGGAAGCAGGTAGAGGCTCTACTTACCGTTAAAGCTGGACCAGTCAGAGAAGTCGGAAGAATTGAGGGGTTCGGGTTCTGGGCTTACCACCTCATCAATCTGGAGGAAAGAGTTTGGGTCACTAGCCTACCCAGTGCTCCCCTACCCATCCATCAGGCTCAGGTGAGGCCCAAGGTCAACAGACGATCAGACAGATAGGACTCTCACCAGAGGGAGGCCCAGTCCTGCTCGGGCCCAGTTGACTGTGGCCAGCTTCTCTCTCAGTGCAGAGGCCACAGGGCCAGCCACGTTGGCTGGGGGGAAGATGGGGCCATTGCAGGTGGGGCACTGGTAGCCAGCAGGCGCTGTGTTTCGGGGAAGCTGAGCAGCACGTTCATTGAGGCAGGCCCAGTGGAAGAGATCTTAGGATCCATGGAGTAAGGGAGGAGAGACATGAAGAAGAGTCTCTTCAGGCCCCTGGCCAGCAGTGGCCCCAACCAATTTCAGGAATGAATGGATACACATGCCCAGGGCCTCTCTTTCCCCTCCTCAATCCAGGTCCATTTTATCAGTGTTCCCTGAGGCTTAATTTATTTTTTTGGCAGTACTCAGGGTCTTGCATTGTCTGTCAGGTGTCCTACCACTTGAGCCACACTCCCTTTTACTATTTGTTTTTCAGATAGAGTCTCAAGCTTTTGCCTGGGCCAGCCTTCCGTGCCACAATCATCCTACCTCTTTACTAAGTAATCAAGATAGGTGCAATGAAACTGGCCATTCCGCAAGCGGTAAATAGGAGGAAAATGCCTTTCAGAGCCCCTCTTTAGGCCTGCACTCATCACAACCTTTGGACTAATGACTAATTAGTAATTCTTTCATTAAAGGTTCCTAAACACACACACAAACACACATGTCCATACACATACCCATAGGCCCAAATATTTTTGTGCTTATAAATACATAAACACATGCTTCATTCCCTAGATCTCCACTACACCCATATGCTTTTGTATGCATAGCAGCATTTCTACGTTTGTTACCAGTAAGCCCTGTTACCTACGTGTTATCCTTGCATGTGCACAATACACTTGCATTCCCATGTTCATATACACATTTGCCCATTCACTAACCCACACACACTAATGAACACATAGGACACAATGCACATTAAATTAAACCCATGATAGTATATATGTATTCTCAAATTGAGAAAGCAGAGCTGGGAAGGTGGCTCAGTGGTAGAGCACTTGCCTTGCATGCATGAGGCCCTGGGTTTGAATCCTTACTACCACATACATAGAAAAAGCTGGAAGTGGTGCTGTGGCTCAAGTGGTAGAGTGCTAGCCTTGAGGTGAAGAGCTGAGGGACAGTGCCCAGGTCCAGAGTTCAGGCCCCACGACTGGACCCAAGGGAAAAAAAAAAAAATTGAGAAAGCATTCATGCAGCTGCCTCTGTTGCACCAGCTACAATTAAAAAAAAAAAAGCCAGACATTGGTGGCTCACACCTGTAATCCTAGCTGCTCAGGAGGCTCAGACCTGAGGATTGCAGTTCAAAGCCAGCCTGGGCAGGAAGGTCCGTGAGACTCTTATCTCCAATTACTCACAGAAAAAGCCAGAAATAGCACTGTAGCTCAAGTGGTAGCGTGCTGGTCTTGAGAAAAAGGAGCCCAGGCCCAGAGTTCAAGCCTCAAGACTGGCAAAAAAAAAAAAAAAGATGTTGAAGCCAGGCACTAGTGGCTCATGTCTGTAATCCTAGCTGCTCAGGAGGTTGAGATTTGGAAGATCTTGGTTTGATCCTCTATTTCCAAAATAACCAACTAAAAATCAGGGGTGAAGGCCTGGCTCAAGTAGTAAAATAACAGCCCAGCAAGTATAACTCCTGAGTTCAAACCCCACAACTGAAATGAAGCTAAGGCTCTTATACTAGCTTCAGGTCAAGTTCATGCCATATGTGACTGTTGACTCCCTTCAGCTAACTTTTTTTGGTGTCTGTGTTGGTCCTGGGGCTTGAACTCAGGGCCTGAGCACTGTCCCTGAGCTTTTTTGCTCAAGGCTAGCATCCTACCACTTGAGGAACAGCTCAACTTCTAGCTTGTTTGGCTTTTAATTGGAAATGAGAATCTTATGGACTTTCCTGAGTAGACTGGCTTCAAACTGTGATCCTCAGATCTCAACCTCCTGAGTAGCTAGGATTACAGGTGTGAGCCACTGGTGCCCAGCTCTTTAGCTAACTTTTACATGGGAAATTCCTATTTAGTCTTAGACTCAGCAACAGGACCTGAAAGCTCCAGGGGCATGGCTAGCTATATCACACAGTCAGTTCACAGCGAAAACCATCTCCACAAGCCTGACTGGCTCTTGTTCAACTCTGGAACTGGCAGGGAAAGATGTAATAGCTTTATTCTTAAGAAAGCCACTGAAAGCCGGGCACTGGTGGCTCACGCCTGTAATCCTAGCTACTCAGGAGGCTGAGATCTGAGGATCGAGGTTCAAAGCCAGCCCGGGCAGGAGAGACCATGAGACTCCTATCTCCAATAAACCACCAGAAAACCGGAAGTGGCGCTGTAGCTCAAGTGGTAGAGCGCTCGCCTTGAGCTGAAGAGCTGAGGGACAGCGCCCAGGCCCAGAGTTCAAGCCCCATGACCAACAAAAAAAAAAAGAAAGCCACTGAGGCTTAGAAATGGAAAATGAGTTACCTAAGTTTCTACAGCAGGAAAGTGACCTTAAAGGAACAGAATGGGGCGTTTGTCTGGGAATGTGGCTTAGCAGTAGAGTACTTGCCTAGCATGCATGAAGCCCTGGGTTCGATTCCTCAGTACCATGTAAACAAAAAAGGCCAGAAGTGGTGCTGTGGCTCAAGTAGTAGGAGTGCTAGTCTTCAGCAAAAGAAGCCCAGGGGTAGTGCCAGGCCCTGAGTTCAAGCCCTAGGACTAGCAAAAAAAAGAATCTGGGGGTAGGGGGTGTGTCTGGTCTTCAGGCTTGAAGGATTGTCCCACCGCTAGAGGGGACCTGAAAACCAGTCACCACAGTGTTTCCTGGGACCATGCTGATTCCTGCGGGGTAGCTAGGTCTCACCATAGCAGATGAGGCGTGTTGTCTCCTGGCTGGCCAGCGGTGTGTTGCATAGGTGGCAATTAGGGTTGTAGTCACTATCTTGGAGCCACTGCAAGTAGGACTGGATGATGCACTGGAGTGGGAGAGAAATGTCACAACTGGAGCCCAGCTCCTCCCTACCACTACAAGGTTCAACTGCCTCTTATATCACAAAAGACACATCCTTTGGTTTACTGAGCACCTACTGTGTTCTAAGACTGTCTTAGGGGCTGGGATATAAGCAGTCAGCAAAATCAACTAAGCGCTAGCCCCTGTGGAGCTTACATTCAAGTGCACGGCACCTCTCATGGACTTGGAGGAAGCCAATATTGCCAGCCCACCCAATGCTCCGCTCGGTCGTTGTCCTAAATGTCTCACCTTGGCGTGGTTGGCTACCAGGCAGTGCTCGCAGACGTTGACTCGATGTTCGAAGCAGAACAGGTTGGTCACTTTTCTCTTGGGGCACTTGCAAAGTCCCATGACCGACCCTGGGGAATGGGCTTGAGTTGGTAGGAAGCCAGGTTCTACTGGCTGCCACTTCGTTCTCACCCACTCAGTTCGTTTCCACTTCTAACTTCCCAAGACGACGTCTCCTTCTCCCCTATGCCAAATTCTAGCCCCCCGCCCCAACCCACGTAGAGCCCCGCCCCCTGCACGAATCCAGCCTCCGGTGTCTCCACATTCTTCCAGCACCCAGCCCCGGGCCTGGCCTCTCCAGCGCATTCCCCGAAACCACCGGCCCCGCCCCTAGGGCCCTCCTGGGCCCCACCCCCTCGAACCCCGCCCCTCCGCCCGACAGACACCCCCATTCCCATTCTTCGTCTTACTGATCTGCCGCACCACCCGTCCCGATGAGCGCGAGCGGTGGTTCGAGGGGCGGACGGACAGGGACTGCGTTCAGCCGTAGCTCTAACTCTGCCTCCCACAGCTCTGGCCGCTCGGATTATGTCCGCTGCCACGTCTCTTCCGGGTGCGGCGCGCGGAGATGACGCCACCGAACCCCGGGCCACGCCTCCCGCTGACGCCAGACGTGGGGTGGGTAAATAAAATGAGCGTCCTAGTGTCGCGGTCTTCCTGTCTGTCGTCACTTCCGCTTCCTCCCCATCTGGGCGGGTAATTTGAACGTTTTCGGCCGCAGCAGTTGCAGAGGCTCGTCCTCCTTCCCCTGCGCGAGCGGGTGTTGGCCGCGGCGGTGATCTAGATCGGCGGTAGATATGTCTTCGAGGCGAACGCGGTCCGGAGGGGCCTCTCGGAGTTCCGGTAAGCGGAGGGGCCCAGCCGTTTGGGGAACACACGCGCCTTCCCCTGCCGCCGAAGGAAACTAGTCTCTCCGGAGATGGCGCTCCGCCCCTCCCCCAGAGCTTGGTTGGAAACCTCTTGCCTTTTCCAAAATTTGTCTCTAGATTCTAGGATCTAGAATATTCTCCTCTCCGACACACACACACGAGCATTTCTTCCCCCCCTCCCTTTTTTAGAGCCTAAGACCGCATCTCCTAAGCCCGTGCGCAAGTCCCAGCGGAAATCAGGTTCCGATCTCCCGAAGGTCCTTCCTGAAATCTGGCAGAAGGTGAGTTGTTCAAGGTTTCTTGATACTGCCCTAGAGCCACCCGGACTAATGTAAATCTCATGATCGCTCCTCTTTCCCAGGCTCCTCAAACAGCTCCAGTCAGAAAGCCCATTGTCTTGAAGAAGATTGTGGCTCATGCTGTAGAGGTGAGGGCTGAGGGAGTGGACTGTCGGGAGATCAAGAGTGAGTACCAGCAAATTAATCAATTGCTGTTGTCCCCACAGATCCCAGGGGCCCCCTTGACTCGCAGGAGCCCTAGGGTAAGTTCATTGCCATCTGCTTGGTTGGGGAAGATCCAAGGGTATTCTGGGTGATTATGTTTACCTAGGAAACTTTTGCAACAATCTGCCTTTGAACATCCTCGGGCGTTTCTAATCTAGATTATTTCTTGCAGACCTGATTTGTTTGTTCAATTTTGTTTATGTTTGGAGGTACTGAATTTTGACATCAGGACTTACCTAGGCAGGTTTTTAGCTCTTTTTGCCCTGTGTATTTCTACTATTTTCCTTAAAAAGCTGAGTGAGCTATCTCCTAACCATTCTGTACACTGTCTAACCCAGGTTTCTTTTTCCTTCTCTTTTCTTTCTTTTTCTTTTGGCCAGTCCTGAGGCTTGAACTTTGGGCCTGAGTGCAGCCCCTGAGCTTTTTGTTCAAGGCTAATACTCTATCATTTGAGCCACAGGGCCACTTCTGCCTTTTACTGTTTATGTTGTACTGAGGAATCGAACATGGGGCTTCATGCATGCTAGGCAGGCACTCTACCACTAAGCCACACTCCCAGCCTCTAACCCAGTTTTTAAACTCTGTGTGTGTGTGTGCGCGCGCATGTGCGTGCGCGTGCGTGCGCGCGCTAGTCCTGGGGCTTAGACTCAAGGTTTGGGTGCTATCCTTGAGCTTTTTTTTGCTCAAGACTAGCACTCTACCACTTGAATCAGAGCTCTACTTCTGCTTTTTTTTTTTTTGGTGGATAATTGGAGATAAATGGCTCACAAGATTTTCCTGCCCAGGCTGGTTATGAACTGCACTGTGAACCACTGGCACCTGGCTCTATCTCAATTTGTTGTTGTTGGTGGTGGTGGTGGTGGTAGTGGTGGTCATGGGACTTGAACTCTGGGCTCTGTCCCTCAGCTCTTCAACTCAAACTGAGCACTACCACTTGAGCTACAGCGCCACTTCCAGTTTTCTAGTGGTTTATTGGAGATAAGAGTCTCATGGTCTTTCCTGTCCAGGCTGGTTTTGAACGGTGATCCTCAGATCTCAGCCTCCTGAGTAGCTAGGATTACAGGCGTGAGCCACCGGCACCCAGCTTGTTTTTATTTATGGCTGTTAGGAGTTTTGTGCATGGTGGTTTTATAGTTTTAGAACTTGGTATTAAGGATGTTTCAGTAGTAGAAAGTCTGAAGATTAGAAATGTAAAGTGAGGCAGAAAAATTCCCGAGGCTTACAAATGAGAAAGACATAACCAAGGGGTTGCAACATTGTGTGCTAAGGGTTGTTGTAAGGAAATTCTGGAAGCTCTGATGGTACCTAATCCAGACCAGCTACTTCATTGGATGTTTCACTAAAGAAGAAACATCAGCCAGGTGCCAGTGGCTCACACCTGTAATCCTAGCTACTCAGGAGGCTGAGAGACTCTTAGCTCCAATAAACCACTAGAAAACCAGAAGTGGCGCTGATGAAATCTTTGAGATAAGTAAGGGTATTCTGGGCAAAGGAAGCCATGTTGTCAGGGATCTGGCGTCTAAAGAAAAACTGAGGTTTGGTCAGTAGCAATTTGTTAGGTATCTGAAGCTGACCTGGTTAGGAGAGCATGCTAACAGAGAAGATGTGAATGAGTCACAAAAGCCATGTTGAGGAGCTTGAGTTTCATCCTTGGGCCTATGAGCAGTTTCAAGAACTATTTTGTTCTCGACCTCCACTGAGAACCCAGGAACCTCCGTGTATGCTCATCAGGTGCTCTACCACTGAGATGTTCCTGACCAGCCTTTGGAATGCTTTAAGAAGCAAGGTAGTGACCAAGTCAAGCTTGAATGTTATGGAAAGAGCCTCCTAGGTACTGTGTAAGTGGCTGGAAAGCTGAGACTACAGATCAGGTAGAAGGATGTGATATCCAGGAATCCTGAAGTGAGATGATGAGAGCCTAAGGTAATAGGCAGGATGGTGCCCCACTCCCCCTGCTCTCCATACTGCCATCTGATCCACGGGACTGCGCTTCAACACACCTTCCCTGAGTACCCTTACCCTATCATTGTTAGATTTCTCTGTGGAATTTTCCATAGACCTTAACATCTGATAGTGAATTAGTTTTCATGTTGTTGACTTTTCTCTCCTCTCTATGAACCTAAATATCTTGAGAACTAGGACCTCTATCTCCCAGAGTTCAGGCCCCATGACCGACCCTCTCCCCCCCAAAAAAAACCCTTGAGGCCAAAATATACCAGACATCAAAGAACAAACAAGGAGGGGCTCACACCTGTCATCCTACCTATTCAAGAGGCTGAAGTCAGAGGTGTAGTTCAAGACCTCCGCCAACAACAACAAAAACCCACAGGACCCTATGTCAAAAAAGAATTAAAAAAAGCAAAAGGGCTAGGGGCCTGGCTCTAGTGGTAAAGCACCTGCCTAACAGGATGAGACCCCTATATTGCAAAAATAACAAAATACCAGTGTGGCTAAAGTAAGCTTAAAGATGAAGTTATGGGCTGGAGGCTGGTATTATAGGGTGCTTGGTAGGCCACTGGAAGGGAATTTGCTGAGACCAAGGAAGCCAGGCCAAGGCTGTGAATAGTTAAGGTTTATGTGCACGTGGGGTTTAGAGCTTTACAGAACCTCACGCTCAGCTCCAAGGCAGAAGGCTATCCCTTGCTATGGAGTCCAGGTCAGCCCTGCTTTCCTCCGCTAGTATCATTACCATGCTGTCTTTTAGTTCCAGTACAGCAATGCTCCTCTCTGGCCCGGCTGCTGGCTGACTCATTCATGTCCCAGGCAGAAGTGTTGGGAGTCTTTTTTTTTTTTAAATTTAATTTAATTTTATTTGTGAACATACTGTACAGAGGGGTTACAATTGCATGGGCAGGATAATGCGTACATTTCTTACCAAGCATTGCAGCC